CCTGGACCCAGAGAAGTTAGTAACCCATTGTACTGATACCTGAAAATACCTAACGTTGGAAACAGACCCCAAAAAGCTAGTTCTTGACACTTTGCTCAATTATAAACTTGACCTTCTGAAATTCATTAAACATGTTAGAAAAATATGATTTTATGATTTCATGATTTCATACAGGAGTGAATGCTTTAATATGTTCAAGTGAAGGGAAAAGAAACGGGATTTCCAAAGCCCTCGTCTACAATTCTCGGCAACAGGGCTGCGGAAACAGCATACTGTTAAGGAGCGCATCCGCATGCGTTGCGTGACCGTTCCCCAATTCTACAAACCGATCGCAGAACTAGTGGATTCTCCCATTCTTAAGGAGGTCTCCACTTTCTTGTATCCAGGGAGTGAAAACTCCTTGCCGTAAGTAAAATAACGGAAATTTTCTAGAATGGGTCCCACATTGAGACAGCAAAGGCCACGCAGGGGTAAGCCGCTCAAAGCACAGGAAAAAAGAGAGAGAGAGAGAGAGAGAGAGAGAGAGAGAGAAAGGAAGAAAAACGTAAGTTAGAAACACAAGTTATTACACGACGATCCTGCCCAATTGTGTTGGACTGAAGTCCTCTGGCATCACCTCGGCATCGCTGCCCCCGCGTGTCGCCAAACGGGTGATGCCAAGAGCCAAGGTCCAGGAACCACGCGCCCATACCAGCTACTTCACAGCAACGGACCAGCCTGTGTGGTGGCGGAAAGGAAAGGCAGAGCAAGAAAAGTAGACGCAGCGTAGCCAGCGCCTCCGCGCCATTGCCGAACTACGCAATAGCTCGCTAGTTCCGCCAGGGCGCATCCAGAGCAACTCTGTGCACCCACCAAAGTCCCAGGGCTAGCTATTGACCTCAGTCCCGTCTCCCGACTGTGGTGCCCAGCGCGGGGAGCACTGGGAGCAAGATCACCAGGCTCCAAGGCCCCCGCAGCGACATTCGCACGTGGCTGTCACACCTGGCTGACCCGCACCTGGCCTTCAGATAGGGCTGCGTCCCCTGCCCTTCCTTCTCAGCCAAGCGCCCCCAAGCCCTAGCGGTCTTCCCCACCCCATTTAGTCCTACACACAGGTAAAAACACACACTCGCTCCCACAGTCATCGCCCGGGAGGAAACAAAGCCAAATGTTCGTCTCGTGGCAAAGGTTACCAAACAAGCGTTAACAGCCAACACGTAAAAAACAGTATTCTTCCTCACCTTTTACCTTGTAGTCGGTGGCAAGCCAGGCATTTCCCCCAGTGACCTAACTGAGGATGGTGGGTGCCGCTTTCAGCACTACCAGTTTCACCTGAGTCGCGAAGGATTGACGCAAGCAGCCAAAATGTGCAAGCAATTTAACCAGCAGCACGGAAGCTTTCAAACCGTAGCTTCTAGGGTCTGTACCTCGGCAACCAGTCACGCACGAGAGGTATTTCACGTGACCGGAGGAGGTTGTCCTTAGAGGGGAGGAAGTCGGGCAGGATGGGGAATGTTAAAGGCTACGCCGTCGCTCTTTGGGGCCAAAGTTTCAGTAAAGGCCGTGAGGCGTTGCCAAGTCCGGGGTAGAGACTCCGGATCCAACTGGAAGTGGCCCTCCGAGCAAGCTGCGTCGCTGTAGCTCCCAAGCCCACAGCGTACTTCGGGGCTCTGAAAAAGTGAGCGTGCCCACTGGGCTGCGCAGGCAGCCTTCTGGGATTTGTAATTTTCCGAGGAAAAGGTCCTGCTTATGGAAGGTATTCGAAGAACTTAAGAGGTATTCCAGTGTTTGGGAATGTAATAGACAATAGATCAGCGTTGAGTGAAAGCAGCCATACACTTGTGTTTTAGTTGGATTAACCTAAGGTGTCCTCACACTTCTCAAAAAAGTGGAAGACTATTGGCTTTCATGATTTGTCTGGTCTCCAACACTTGCCGAGAGCCTGCCCAGAGCCTGCCCTGCCAGCAGAACTTTGACTGTCATTTACCAGTTACAGCTTATTGGGAGATAGGGCTCTGGTCTTGCTGAGGGATTGCTGACCAACCCGGGCTTCCAGAACAAAGCTCCGCAAATAGTTGGCCTTTAAGTATTTCCTGAACAAATTCTACTGTGTCCATCATCTGTTTCATTGATTACATTTACAATAAACTTGGTTTGCTGAATAGCTTTTCTTTGTCGTTGTTAATATGAAATGTTGCTCTGAGGGTTCCTGATACATTTGATACATGTTTCCATCTGATACAATTAGAGCTCCAAGAATTAAGACTTTTTTAAAAAAGGTATAATTCACTACATCAAATTCTCCCATTTTTAAGTATGCAATTGATAATTTTTATCATATCCATAAAGGTGTGTGATCATTACTATATAAGTCCAAAATATTTTTGTCACCTTCACACACACACACACACACACACACACACACACACACACACACACCCCGTGCTCACTAACAACCACCTCACATTTTCCCTTCACCCTAGCAATTGATTTCTTTTGATTTCAAGATTGTAGTATCCATGAGTTCTTCATTCTTTCTAGGGCTCATTATATTCCTTGGATTTACCACATATTCTCTATCCATTCATCTGTGGATGAATATTTGTATTGTTTTCAATTTTTGTCAATTGTGAATAGGGCTGCCATGAACGTTTCTGTACAAATATTTGTGTGACCATCTGTTTTCAGTTCTTTTGGGTGTATACTTAAGAATGAAATTGCTGGATTATATAGTAGTTGTATGTTTAACTTATTAAGGAAGTGACAAAAGTGTTTTCCACAGCAGTTGCACAATTTTATGTTCCCACTAGCGACATATTTATCCACATTACATTCTCGCCACCATCTTCCTAGTATTCATTCGTTTGATTATAGACATCCAGTGGTACCCTGTTATACTTTTGACTTGTGCTTCCACATGTTTAATGATATTTATCATCTTTTCCTGTGCTTATTGGCTGGCCTTCTGGAGGAAGGGTCTCTTAAGATCTTTTGCCATTTTAAAATTTGCGTTGTCTTTTATCATGGAGATATAAGACTTATGCACACATTCCGGATATAAGCCCATATCAGATAGGGTTTACAAATATTTTCCTCCATTCTGTGAGTTACCTTTGCACTTTCTTCATGATTTCTTTTGCTCCACTGTTGAGTTATTTCTAGAGAATGTATTCTAAGTCCTGAAGGGTAAATGGGGAATTGCTGAAACGTCAGCAGTGTTCTGGTCTCAAGGCTCTTGGATGCGATAGCATTATCAGAATAGAGCCCCAGGATCCCCCAAAGGATAGTTAGGTACAAAATTGGTTGTAACTTCCTGGCACTCACTGGAGATGCACGTACTCCCTGCATGTTTTTCACATAAACATCAGAAGATCCTTTGTTTTCTCGTCCTATACTTTGGTACTCTTTAATACTCGTATCTGATAAAATAAGAAATAAGAGCTACGTGCAGTTAGCCGCAGCTACTGTTTTCACTGGCTGAGGCAGCCCTGCATGTTCACTCAGTCTAAGTGTCTGAGAACTTTTCCTTCGGTGCGCAGTAACACCCCACAAAGGTTTTTGATATTGATGAAACCCAATTAACTTATTTGCGCATAAAATTTATTTTGCACTTGTACTTTGATGTCATATCTCAGAAACCACTGCCTAATCCTAGAATGTGGTGATTTATGACTATGTTTTCTCTGAAAAGTTTTAGAGTTTAAATTCTCATATTCATGAACTTACACCATTTTTAATAGTTTTCGTATATGGTGTATCATGGAGTCCAACTTCATACTTTACTTGTTGATAACTTATCCTAGCACCATTTGTGGAAGAGACTATTTTCCCCCATTAAGTGGTTTTGACATTCCTTCTAACCATATGTGTGACTATTTATTTCTGTCTCTAAATTTTATTTTTATCTCTATGTGTATTTATATGCCATTACCATACTCTTATTTGATTTTGTAGTACATTTTGAAATTTGGAAGTATAAGTCGTATGGTTTCAAGATTGATTTGGTTTTATGGGTCCCTTGTAAGTCCGTGTGAATTTTAGAATCCCCCTGTGCGTTTCTAGGAAAACAAAATAAGCACAGGTTTAAAAAAAAAAAAAAAAAGCCAAGAGATGCTTTGAAAGGGATTGCTTTGAAGTGGCAGATCTGTTTGGATCATCTGTAGGCCACCTGTTAATGAGCACTGCTGCCCCAACAGTCTTCAGTCCTTTCATACATGAGCACAGAAGGCTTTGCACTTGTTTTAAGGTCCTTTTAAAATTTCTTTCAACAATATTTTATAGTTTCAATGTACAAATCTTGCACATCTTTGGCTAAATACATTCCTATATATTTTATTCTTTTTGCTGCTCCTGTAAATGGAATGTTTTCTTAATTCCATTTTTGGACTATTTGTTTCTAATTTATAAAAATACAATTCGTTTTTAATGTGTTGATCCTATTTAATGCCACTTTCCAGAACTTATTTATTAGGCCTAATAGAAATGTTTATTGTGTACTTATGTATGCTTGTGTTCGTTGGTATTTTCCACACTGGATACAGAAGCATGTTTTTGCAAATAGTATTACTTTTTTCTTTGCAAATATGGATGTGTCCAGTTATTCTGTTTCTCCTTAGTGTTGAAGGTTTTGGGAGATGCTTTGAGTCAAAATGGGACCTAACTTTCCAAGATAAAACTTACACGACCAGATTAAATAAAGAGAAGACTTAATATTTAGCCCTTATTTGTCAAGGAAGGTTCCAGAGCCTCTTATCTATTGAAGGAGAAGTCAGAAAAAGGCTTTGATAGAATTCCCTTTCCCTCCTCCTCCCCACCCCCTACCCAGCTTCAGGCACAATTATTGGCACATTACTGGGCACTTATGATCACCTGCAGCCAGGCAGTGTGATCATTTCTTGCAGTTGAGCAGAGCCTAAAGCTTTCTTGTGCTCGTAGGTGCCTGGTACTCAGTGAAAGAGCACCGACTCACCCTAAAATACTAGAAGATGACCTTCTAATTTGTGAAAACTGGGCCGTGTCTGATATATTCACACTATCTCTGCAGCCCACTGCTCTTATATATTCACACTATCTCTGCAGTCCACTGCTCTTATTTACCCTTAAATCTACATAGCAGAAAAATCAAAATTCCACCAAGGATAGATGGGAGAAAGCTCAGCCAGAGCTACCAGCATTGACAGGCTTTTGCATCCCTCAAGATAGAACCCATGGGTTTTATGGAAGTGCCATCCCAACTGGCATTGTAGTGTTCACCAGTGACTCTGTATTTCTTTATGACTTCCTCATTCAGTTGTGGCTCATTTCACAAAACAGAATAAACACATGTTCAAAGGCAACAAAACTGTTCTTTCTGTGAAAACTAGTCTTTCAGGACTCTGAAGTTCTGGAATACCCCCTTCTGTTCCTACCCTGTGACATAGACTGAGAGCCAGGGCCACACAGCTGCGTTTCCACTCAGCCAGGTAAAATCTCAAAATTTACAGGTTGAAAAGTAACACATGTTGCCAAGTCACCATTACTCTTCTTCCCATTCTCCGTGGGAATTATATTTAATCATGGTGACTCTCCAACTCACCCCAGAACTTATTCAGCTGTCCCTTTAGGAATTCACTCCCTCAAGGATTAGAGCAAGAGTTAAGATGGTGGGGAAGTAGGGGGACTCTGGGCTTTCCTTGTCCCTCAAACACAACTGGATTAAGGTCAGATCACTTGGAACACACAGGAAATCCATCTGTGGAGAGGCAGAAGGATCTCCACAGTTGGAAGAAGACAGCTTGGCAGGATCGAGGTGCGTGGAAGTGGATTGGGGGAGAGAAAAATGGCAGAGCTGTGGAGGAGAGTGAGCCATTTTTGTGGAGACAAAAGGGAGACAGAGAAACAGGGACAGAGAAAGTGTGGGATCACTTCACACAAGGGGAAAACTTCTCTCTGGACCACAGAGTGGAGAGCGAGAGGTTCTGAGGGTTGCTCTGTGTGTGTGTGTGTGTGTGTGTGTGTGTGTGTGTGTGTGTGTGTGTTTCAATCAGCATTTGGAGCTCAAACTCCAAGGTTTGGGAAATGCGTGACTTTCTCTGGGGACGGTACGTGAGGTGCACTCCTGGACAGGTGGGGGCTGGCCCCAGAGGGCGTAGGGTGGTGTAGAGATCTCCAGGGTGCACGGGGAGGGAACAGTGCCCTTCTGGGAGTACTTTTGGAGCAGGGTCTATTACCTCTTCAAGGACAAAAGACCCCGCAGGTGCCAGCCTAAGGCTTTTCGTCAGCAAGGGAGAGAGGTGCACCCAGAGGGAATATAAACTTTGCTGCTGTTAGCTGTTCTGCCTCATAGATTTGGTGCTCTCTGCAGGCATGGGAGTGCTTTTCAGGGACAAAGGATATCAGATACAGTGTGGAGAGGCTCTACTCCGGAGAAGGCTCTACTCCGGAGAAGGGTCG